ATACTCTTTTTCTTTTTTATTAAAGATAAAGAGGAGCTTTGTTTTGTTGAAACTAACGGCCGAGCAAGGGTTTACAATTTGATCACAAATCAGTTCCTACCTGGCACAGCTAAATTTCCAATGAATGCAGAAAATATTATTAGCACGCCAGATGGGTCTTGTATTGTTGCTTTTGTTAAGGGTATCACATCTGACAAAAATATAGATCATTTGTCGAATAACGAAGATAATTTGAGTGAAGACGGTTCCAATGAAGTTGATCCCAATGACTATGATGTCAATAAAAGCGATGTTGATGAAAATGATGCTGCTCAAGATATTGGTAAAGATATTGTCATTGAAGATGCCAGCGATAATGATGCTACTGAGGATACTAGAGAAGACGAAGCCAGCAAAGATGATGTCAGCAAAGACGATGTCAGCAAAGATGATGTCAGCAAAGATGATGTCAGCAAAGATGATGTCAGCAAAGATGATGTCAGTAAAGACGATGTCAGCAATGATGTCAGCAAAGATGATTCTGAAGAATATATCACAAAAGTTGAACAAATAATTGAAAGGTCAATGGATCATGCATACATTTACTTTTGCACTAGTTTTGGAAAACCGGCTAGTAAAGGTCATTGTAAAATTTAAAATTTTGATAAGATTTATAGTTATTTTATTTACCATAAAAATGTAACATTTTCATTATATAGTAATTTCAATACCGCCGATTTTATCATCGTTAGAATCTATTCAGTTTTCAAGTATTAGAAATTTGCAAATTCACCTCTCAACGATTGATTTGAATTCTTCTACATTTCGGTCAATGATTGTTAAGATTACCCAAGAGAAAACACAATATTGTTTTCAACAAAAGTTTAAAAAAAGATCACTTGGAATGGTCAAAGTGGTTTCTCAAAATCAAGAATATTCACTTCTGGAAGGAAAAGATACATTATTTAAACGCGACATTAAGGAGGGAGAAAATTTGGTTATTATGGGAGAAAAAAGACCTGTTATAAGGATAGCTTCCGACACACAATTAAAAATTTCCGGATCTTTTCAAAATATTATCGGTTTCAATTCTTGGATGGAATTTCGTGTCGAACCTAAAACCATGCTCAACGGCTTTATTGATGCATATAAATTGATGTTCGAAAAATACCCTATTGATAATTTTATTGATCCTGATCAAAATTCTACGTTAAGTTTACAAATAGTGTTGGATGTGGATGATGACAATATAATTCAGGATTACGAACATAAATTTAAAGACTACATATTCAAGACGTTCGAAGAATTAACAGTATCTACAAAAAAACCTGCAACATCTCTAAAAAGGTGATCAAATTATTGTACATTTATTTTTTATCACATTGAATGATTAACAGTGGTAACGAATTCATTACTTTTTCAGATTTAACACATCAGTTACATCCTTTGAGAATCTTAATCTTGAAAGTTTGAAGGAAGACTCGGATAGAGTTCAATTTGGTTCATGGGTGATTCAACTTTGCGTTCTTATACCAATACAAATTGCCGTTGCTAGAAATAATATATTTCAGCCACTTAAAGATGGATTATCAGCTTTTGATGCGGAATCTACAGAGTCAGAAGCGTTGTATGTCGATGAAATTGCTCAAAGAATTAGGTTAAACATTTTTTTATTACCGTGGCTTAACATATAAAAAACATTATTGAGAATTAGATATTAATTAATATTAGTTTTGGATGGTACGAGGGAATTTTTAAGTATTTTGGAGACCTGCCTGTCAAAGTAGTTTCAAGCATGGGAGAACAGTAAGTATAACTTTTTTCTAGAAATCATTGCTATCCTTAATTGTATTTTATTAATACGACTCTTTATAAATAAAAAGGTCCAGTGGCAAATCGTACGCATAAATAATTTATTCAAATTTCTATCAATATTATATCTTCATAAATAATAAATTATTTTATCTATCAGATATATGCTAAATCATTTGGTCGGAACAACATTCGATGGCTCTGCAATGGTAATTCATCTACCTGAAAAAATTATTACAAAAATTCTTAAATATTACTTCTAATGACTTAATTTTAGCGTTGTACTGAAGGTGTATGGATGTCACTGGGTAATGATTCTATTTTATTATGTCAAGTTAGATCTGCGGCAATTCTTCAAGTAAATCGTTACTGACAATATTATAATATTTCAATGCAGCGATTACAAAAAAATGCATTTATGTTGCTTTGGATTTCGAAGGACTTAATTCTATTGAACGGTCACCACAAGAGGGTAAAAAAATTCCGTTTATTGTGCGCTTGTTTTTCCTTAAAAAAAAAAAAAAAAAAGCAAAAAAAATTATGATGAAATTACTTTCTATTATTTTAGATACATTTTTGACGCTATTCAATACGGTGGTATCAAATCTTATTCTTTTCAAGGTAAAGAAAATTTAAGCATATTTTTAATTATTAGATTGATATCAATGAAATTTTATCCTTATTTGTAGCTTGCTGCTGTGATTTTGCTGCAATCCTTGCTTCCATAAAAGCATAAACCTTTAAAATTTTTTATAAAATTAGTTGTTGCTCTAGTTAAACTATAAAACAAAATATCTCAGAAAATAAATACTTACTGCACTGTAAACAGCACCTGCCCTATTATTATGAGCTCGTACTTGATTATAAACAGGTGTGTTTGGTAATGGCTTTTTATCATTAGCACTCATAGAACCAGATCTATCTATGACAAAAATAATATGAAATAATCCTTCCCTTGTTGAAGGATTTTCACATGTAAAGTGATGTCCATCGAGTGAAACATAACCAATACCACTTGGTGGGACATTAGACGGATTAATAGGAGGATGAAATAATTGTAATTCACAGAATGATTTTATAGGTGCTACATTAGACCCTTTCACTTTCTGATGTATTTCATCTGGACATTCAGCATCGCACTTTGAAAATTCTTCTTGTTCATTAATTGAATAAGGATCTTACAATAATTTATTGCAAGAGTCAATATAGACATAAATAATATGAAGAGAATTACATTTCAAATTTAACAATTAAAGATATAATTGCTGTACCTTTAAAGCCCGTATATTGCCAATAAAGTGAATGAGAAATGAAATCCTTCTTTTTTTCTGGATTAGGGTGAACGACGCCTATAATTTATATGAAAGATACAATATATTAGGTTTAAGATCTACACATTCAGAATGTGCACTTTCCCAATTCTGTAGATTTTGTCTGTTTTGGGGAATCCCAATTTTTTTTAGCATATATCAAAAAATAAAAAAAAAAACAGCACATATTTAAGAGCTAAGGCAGGCCATCTTGATAAAATTTTGAGCGATTAAAATCCTCAATTTTGTCCCAACAATCCCGTGCACTATACTACTCGTAATAATGGAAATTTTGGGCAAAGGCATGGACAAAAGTACTAGGCACTTATATTTTAAAAATGTTGGGATGGTGCGCGGACCCTAAATTGAAATATATATGCTATGTAAAATGGTCAAAAAAAAAAAAAAAAGTACATACCAACAATGTGTTGTTTATGAGCATTAGGAGTGCATGAAGATTCATCTTTACAATAATCAATGTGACGATGACGCCCGTATTCTTTACAACACTAAAATTTATAATTACAATGAGTAGAGTTATTAATATTATTATTAATTTTAATTAAACCAATTTTTTTACCAAATTACAAAGCACAAATGTTCCTTGATCGCCTGTTTTTAAATTATAACTTTCATAAAAAAAAAAATTAGAGATGTGGTTCTTTGCTATAAAAATCATCCTGAGATTTGAATTAGTCTGATCAAAAAGTCTCGAAGGGTGATTTCATAGCAAAGATCCCATGTCGTCTTTCATAATTTATTAATTTAAGTGAGTTTTTATCATTTCCATGACAACTAACTCTAGGCCAACACTAAACTAAAATCAGGTAACTTTAGCTCTAGTTCTAGTATTGGGAAAATAATTATCAAGAAATGATATGATCTCGATTTAAACATGTGGATCATTTTATGCTTACTCTCCATATTTAAAATCAGTTTCTTCTGCGGTAAACTCAGTTTGTATCATATTTCCGTGCTTAGTGTCGTGTAATGGTTGTGGATGTCCATACGGTAAAATACACTAATTAAAACGGTATTGAATTAATGTAATTTTTTAATCGAATTTTTAAAATATACATATTTACATACATAATATTCGCAGAATGGACCTATTGATTATATTATTAATATAAAATATTGAATTATAAACTATGGTTCACAACATTGCACAATAATAATCTTAAATTTATTCTTACATTTAGCATCACAATAGTGAAAATTATTTCCTCCATGAGAATGTTTTCCTTCATGCTTAAAAGCACCGGCTGGGATCATTTTTCCACATTTATATCTTTCACATGATTGGATATACTGTTGTGGTACAGTATATGACAAAAGTTTTAATTTTCATAATGCATAAATTAAAAAAAAAAAAATGTTTCGTGATATACTTTGGTAAAAGTGAAAGAAGTTTCTGCTACTAATCCTTGATATGTTTCCTCTTGTTTTTTAGGTTCTGTTGAAACTTTGCAGATTCCTGCTTCTTCACATAGCTCTTGGCATTGATGTTCATTGCTTTTATTTGAAATAATTATAATTGAAATTTTAATACAGCAATAATAAATTAATATAAAATAAAATTATTCATAATATACCCGCAAAAATGTTGAACATTATCTTCAAAAGCATGAAAATGATCATTGCTTTGACATCTACGTTGACAATGGGGAATTGGGCATTGGATCGGACATACTGCATCATTCTCACATTTATGCCTTTCATGTTCATCTTCACATGGAACAATACATTTGTTAGAACATTTAAAGTAATTATCTTTTCCTGTTAGTTCTAATTTAACTTGTAAGGAGCATGGAGCCCCACAGAAATGACGTTTTGATTGGCATAGATGTTTATCATTATCGTGACCAATCTCCAGTGCACACTTTTGCTGACAATTACGTTTGTCGCTGAAAATACATAGTTCTCCACACAAATGATTTTCCTAAAGTTAAATTCAAAAAAAAATATAAATATAAATTAAAATAACAATGTACATGTTAAAAATAAAGTACTTGCTTCGCACGCATGTTTTCCATCATGGCCAGCTCTGTGATGACATTGTGGAAACAATCTGTTTGGATGAGATTCTTCAAATTCACATTTTGCATGGCATTTGTGATCGGTTAAACAATCATGTGCTTCTTCGTGGTGTCGGTGTTTTAAACATTTCAAATTGCATTTTTGACAAGAAAGTCCACATAATGTCCAAAACAATGAAAGTTGATTTATAGCCTGATCTAAAACATATTTTCCATCTTTTATATCAATGTTATCAGGTGAAAATTTTTCTGTGTTTTGTTGATACCATTCGTTTACCCGATCGACTCGTCGTTTAACAATATAATTAAAAAATTGAAACAACTTATTGAACCATTCTGCATCATCAGAACATTCTTGACGATCTAGAATATTTTCTTTAAAATATAACAGTAAGGTAGCAGACAATGATACAAAACTGGTATCCTCATCGAATAAAAGAAGACCTGAATCTGGAAAAAAGTCATTTTCATCTTTGATATCGTCAAAAATTTCAGATAACTTAACAATATTGTCAGGAATCATTTCTCCAGTATCACGATTCTAATGTTTATAAAACGTTAGTAGTAAATATTAATATTTAAAATTTTAATATCAAACCTTACCAACAATTCGACTGAGTTATTTTTTTCATGTTTTTCCTCAACACCATATGATATAGCAGTTTTTAGCAGAAGAAACTGATTTTAAATATGGAGAGTAAGCATAAAATGATCCACATGTTTAAATCG